ATTAGATTTTGAACTCAGCAGAAGCAAACACCAAAAGACACAGCATTTCTCTAAGACCAGGGTTGGGAAAGTCTGATCTACTGTAGATAATCTGTGGATTATTTTTCAACAGAGATTCCAGTGGTTTTCCGTGATCCTGTAAACCTGCATTATTATTAATGAGAGTTGCATCAGTCCTCAGTCTGAGGCTGGTTGTTCTGTAGAGCTTCCAGAGTGCAAGAGTGATATACTGTAATAGCAACAGGTTTTGAAGTACATGTAGCCAACCTCTCTACAATGTGGCATGAGGGTTGTATTAGGTGATTCCAGGATGGGAATAGCCCATGAGCGTAGTTCCAAAAACTAGGGACTATCCAAAAGAAAACCCTTCTAGTTATGTTTTTTTTTTTCTTAAAAAGGAAAAATCAGATCTAAATTTGAAAAAAGGAGGAACAGATTAGTGAAATTCATAGGACACAATGAAGAGAAGAGATAATATTTATATATGAAGAAGCACCATTTTCACAAAAAAACTAAACAAAACAAAGCTGTGAACAGATTGGAAAGTCACAGGCATGTCTTATAATTTGTAAAGATGGACAATTCATTGTAAGTCAACCACCAATAAGACCTCCTGAAAACATGTTTTACAAGGCTGAAAGTGAGAACCAAATATACTAACTACTATGTCAGGGAATTATCACCACTATTTTTGGGAGGGGGAGATAAAATCGTTAAAAGAAAGTTGATATTCATAATGCGTTTCAGTATAACAAAGCGTCGGGTTGGAAATATTTGACACGCATTTAGTTTTACATAATCGTGTACATTGGGTTTAAGCATCATGACCAAAGCAACTGAACCAATTTACAGTACATCAACAACCTACGGATTAAGGAATAATATCCACAACTATCCATATGTAATGAACGAGGCCTTTAGACTTGCTGACTTCTCCGACTTCCTGTCCTCACAATCAGCTGACAGTCCCATGACAAGCTGGGCGGGGCGCATGCGCATTAGCCTGCTTGTGGCAGAGGGAAGATGGCAGCCTCCTGAGTGAGAGCGCAGAGCCGATGCCAAGAACAGGATAAAAAATAATAGCCATTCACGTTGGAGGGGGGCAAAAGCACAGAAATCATTTGCAACTGATATCAGCATTCCAGGTAAAGAAGCATAGTCTGATGGATGACATTAGACGACCAATGCGTTCGATTTCAACTTGCTTTACCTTTTTGATGTCTAGTTTAGCACTGCAGCAGATTGTGTTGAACTGGTGACAGTCCGGACTTAGCCCTGCTTAGACTCTACAGCCCTTTTAATAATAAAGGCCTGCTTTGCTTTAGGAGTCTGCGTTGGCAAATCGGATGTTTTTTTTTCTGAGCTTATTCCGCAGATCAGTTTTCGAAACACCCGTGTGACCAAATGTTTTAACAATTTACCAGCGAAGCAGTTTTTACTTTCGTCGAGTATGAACGAAAGCCATGTCATGTCACTCGCTAGTTTGAAAACTGTTTTAGTTCTTTATAGTCTTCGGGTATCGACTGTACCACTAGAGCAAGATACATTTATTAGCATACATTTAATGCTGTTCTGTACCTTCTTGTCAGCTGATTTTAGTGTTTTGTAGGCGGCAGCACTTTTTCGATAACTGATCAGGAAAGCAAGAAAGTGTTAGGAAATGGTTTGGGATCATTTCATATGTATCGCTTAAAAAACATAGTATAGCTGTTATTGGGGTCATTTGCCAAATGAATAGTAGTTGTGGTGTGATGCGTAATAATTTGCGTTTTTTTCTATGTAGTGACGAAGCTTATTTGAAACCCATACACAAGTGAACATCCTTTAGCACTTGAAAGTCTTGGACATTAATGTCAAATATAGCACCAACTAACTTCCTCCGTTAAACAAAACCTGTGATCATTTTGCGTCATTCAGAATGAACTTTAAATGACAATGTGTTTCTTTTTTATTTTGTTTCCTCGTCCTGCGTTTGCGTTTTGCTTATTGACTAGAGAGCGCTGCTTGATTGTAACAACAACACCGATATTGCTGGGCGTGCTTGCGATAATAATGCAGCTTCTTTAAACTTTTTAGAAGCGAGAATGTGTCACGGGCCTCAAGAAAATTTGGCATGACTAAATATTCACACAGAAAAATACGTTATTGCTTTATGCTAAGAAATTTAGATGTTTTTACTTTTTCTGAAACGGTTTTAATTCTCTTTAGTGTTCAAGTGTGGAGCGTGTGTCCGTTGTGTTTTATGATACAAAATGAATAAAATTGTATGAATCTCCTGCTTTCATTTGTACACAAAGCAGAAAAATGTAAGGTATTTGGTTTCGATGCACAAGAGAGCATTACACAAGAAAATGCTAAGGCGTTTCAGGTATAAAAGCATTTCAGTTTTGTACCACTGGTTCAGGCATGTACAGTAATACAGTATGTACTGTATTTAGAAAATGTAGGGAGAGTGACCAGTATTTGAGTCTGATAGCGTTGTGTACAGAAGAAGCATGAATTTGATTATTTCAGTTTCCAAGAAAAAAGGGACCAACCAGTTTTCAAGATGTGGACATGCTCCACATCATCAAATTGTCAGACTAAGCATATTACTTAATTGAAGTGACAGTTGGCAATTCCAAGTGCTGTATTGCCCAGTGCCTACAGTATGTTCTAGGAAGATGCTATACTATATCTGGCCACAACAGAGATAAGCCTATTCTGTTTTATCTTTTTAAGTGGGACCTTTTCAAAGTGATGTCGGCCTGACAATATATTGATCTTCAGTGCTTTAATGGTTGTACGGTACTTCCCATACGGCACTGGTCAAGTGCAGAATTGAACTTCATTAAATTGCTGCGTTAGATGGTAGTTAATTGGGGCTTGCCATAAAAGGGAAGGAGAAAACACTTAATACCTGTTGCAAAATACTCAGATTTAAATTTTAACTTTTAACTTAGAAGTAGTAAAGTGCGGACTGAACAGAATGTTTCCCATAACCCTATATGTAAAGGGAGGTCCTGTTTCTTTGTGCAGTATTTGGGTGATACCAAGGGACTTGTTTTATTAACAATATCAACAACTATAGCAATAAGTAATAATATTTATTTTAGAAGTTCTTCACTTGTGAAAGGTATGCTGTCATTGCAGATATATGGAGAGTGAGAGATGTTTTTGGAATGCCTGTTTTTTTTTTGTTGTTGTGAAGAAGTCAACACCTGTACAGGAAACACCAGACAAGCTAGAATGATGAATTTGATACTGTACTTCAAGTGGCCTTGAAATATGAGTAACCTGGTTTTCAGAATTTGGAGACTTTGTGGGGGGGGGGAAAACACAGTTTCATAGTTAAAATGGAAGAAAAATACTGATTTAAGAAGTGTCATAGACAGCTGTATGGTGGATTTGTCAGCTTCCTTGTCAGCTCTTCTTTGCTGTTGAATACGGTCATCACTGTAGGAAGTTCTGTAATTTAAACTCAACCCTATATTCTATCTGTTCAACATTTTATGAACGTGATTTTGTGTTACATGCATATTTTTTTAAACAAAAGTGAGAAAAAGCAGAGTTCGAGGCTATATTTTCAGCTGCAATTAAAAAAATGTTATAAACAGGAAAAATGCATCTTGTAGATTATTAAGCGACAAAGGTAAAATTCAAGCAGTTTTCTCGACACCCAACTATGCAGAAACTTAAGACAAATGTATTTTATTTCATAATGTGTGGTATATCTGTAGACTTAAAAGGGAATTATGTACCAGATGTTGTCATTATTAATGCCATTGAACATCAGATAGATGTAAGGGTTAAAGTTGTGATAGCAGTGCAGATGAGTTTTCAGATGGAGTTAGCAATATTGGCACTTCCCAACTTAATTGCTTTACTCAGAAGGTTTGAAAAATGGATATTGTGTTGCTGTGCGTATGTTGCTGCCCTTGGGCCATAAGGAAAGTAAACTTGGAGAGAGTCACAGATGATCAGAGGAGGTTCGCAGTAGTTTACTTGAGTTAATTAGGTTCAAAGTAAATAATTAAGACTGTTGTATTAAAGAATAAACATTCAACTGTTACTGGACAATTCCTAATGAGGTCATTAAGAAAGCATCCATAGAAATGTACATGAGCGTAATCACAGCAGCAGGAATATAGGCAAGAAGGAAGGAAGAGAAAGAGGACAGGAAGCAAAGAAGGAAGGTTATCGAAGCTGAGACATAGGAGAGTTCCTTTTTCCTTTTAGAATCAAATACTGCTCAGGTAATCTGAGCACTGTAAAGAGTACCGGACTCTGGAGTTACAAGAGAACCAGTCTTAATTATGGTAGGGAATTCTGATTTCCTACAGTGTGTATCTATACTGGCATCTGTATTTTGGAGAGATTTTGTCCTGCATTGGATACATTTGTTTAGGACATTTTTCCGTCATTGGCCTGTTAAGATATTTTGTGGTTTACTTTGTGGTGGTTTATAGGCACAGAATTCTGGGCTTCTTAAGGTCTAAAGTATGTTTCTGAAACCCACTGATTGTACAAATCTGTATATAAGGTAACTGTAAATATGGGGTAATCAGATCAATTATCAGATCAGTGCCGGAAAATAAAAGAATTCACTTGCTGTAAACGCCTGGCTTTTTCCTGCCCTGTACTTTTGTCACAGCACACCTACCATTTCATTAATAGTTCCAGCCAGTGAATTACAGCAGTCTTCTGGACCACTGAGCAAGCAGCATTTTGCCTTAGGCTTTTCTGTGTTGGATACTCTTGGGTACAATGAGACCATCCTTGTTCCACCAAACAGGCTTCAGCTATAAAATGCAGTTGCAAAATGTTAAAACTTTTAAAAAAGAATTTTGCCGAGCTATATCTGCAGATGTCACCCAAAGGAAATGGCAGTTGGCAATTACTATTTAAGCAGGAAAGTGACGTTAAATGAAATGTGTACCTTTCATAAGATTTAAAGACTAATAGATAATTTTGTATTTGTGCTGAATGATTGTACAGCTTAAACTGCCAGGTGAAACCCCATCTCACATCCGAAGTCGCAGAAAGAGTTATGGGTCGATGCATCAGTGCTGAAAATAACACTGTCATCACAGCCTGAGAAGCCGTAGTCTGAGATCTATAAAAGTGAAATTTATCAGCCTGTGGTGAAGAATGGGGCTCAAAAAACAGGAGAGGCACAGTTCCCTCAGGACCAAGGCTAGAAACCACTGGCACACAATACAGGTAACTAATCGGTAGTTTTTTTTCTGAGTGGATAGCAGCTTAAGTGCCAAAGGAAGTTTGACTGCACATTTATAAAATGTTCGTTGAACTTGTAGAACTACTTTTAAAGCATTGAAGAACAATGTTGAATTCCCTACATATCAGGAACTAAGCTTCATGAAAAGCTTTCTACAGGAAGTAGATTTTTTTCAAATCAAAGTGTAGAGGGTCAACATGTTAGTAAATCTTCTCAGCTAATTTGTAAATAACTAAAACAAGATGCCAAACAGAACTGAGGGTGTCCAGGGTGCCCTAATCCTGCCACTTTTTAAAGTTCATGAAGACTTGCTGAGAAGAACAACAGCCTCTTTTTTAAAAGTTGAAAATGGGCAGTTTTTCTTTTGATGCCTCTGATTTTTGTCATTGCCAATTAAAAGCGATCAGCTCACATCTACAGCCCTCGTATTGGCACAGGAGTGAATGTGGCGCTTTGCGCATAATTTGGTCATTCAGACATTTGTAGGTCTCGTAGAGAGCACTGCCAGCTTACAAGGTGGCTGCCTAGCAAACCACAAGGTTCTGAGTTACATGTCAAGTAGTGGCAGCCCTGGTTGACTGAACCTATTGAACCGTGCGTGTTGGCCTTTGGGGAATACTGGTTGGTTCTACTTGGTTAACGACAACTCGGATGAAAACTAGTGATGCCTGAACTGTAAATCAAGACTTTTGTAGTTTCAACCACCAGGGATGCTCTTCCACATTTTAATATTGTTTCAAGAAATACAAATACAAAGCCGCACACATTTAAACCACATAACATATGACATAATGTATTTTAAACAGATGTTGGCTTGTTGAATATGCAAAAGCAGGTTGCGTCTTTTTTCTTTTGTTGCTTACTTAGAGCTTTTTATTTCAATAAATACTATGTATTGCTTTTTATCCCCCCAGTTATTTATAGATATGGAATTCTATACACTTCATCCGCTACTGAAGTAAAGCAGCCACTAGGATGATGTCCCAGCAGCCCCTCTGTGCAGTAGATCAGGTAGATGAGTGAGAAATTGCTTCACTAGTTGAATTCACAGGGAACATAGGTAAGACAGATCAAGCCCACAGTGGAATTTAGCCAGGACAGCAGAGTTAAGACCTTACCATTGAGTTCAGTGCCATGGGATCTTCAATAGCAAAGGAATCAGGACCTGGGTTTAATATTTCATCTGAAGGGCAGTATCTCCTGTATCATAATCCTGGTCCAAAGGGAAGAATAGGTGTGTGTGGAAAACAAAAATCCACGTAATGACTCACATGAGAAAGATGTACAGTGCGTGAATATCCAAATCTGTTTTCACATATAAACCCACCGTTCACATGAAAATGTAAATTGGCTTCTCCCATGACAGCCTCAGGTGTGCGTGTCTGGGAGGGATCAGCTGGAGTTCTGCCATGGAGATCTGTATATAGATGGAATGTGCCGTTTCATTTTATACCTTCAGGTTAAGTTGCATGTTTTCTATTTAATTATTGAAATGTGAGGTACATTAGTCAGACTTGTTCCCGGTTAAATGAAAGTCTGCATCATCAGTGAGGTAAAAAATGATATGGGTGAGATCAGTTAAACAAGATATGAAAGAAGAAAGCACAAGGGAATTCCAAGCCACAGTTTTATCAAAGCCATCAAACAATGCACTTTTAGTAATAATAACCAGATGGATTTCAGTGGGCTTTTCTCATGTTTATGTTCTGTGGGTGAACTGCTGTTCCTGGTGCATTTTTCTGCAAAACAGCACAAAATCTGGGCACATGGCTAATTTGCATATGAAATCCATCCTTACTCCTTCATTTGCATGATGTCTGGTCTTCCGAACTCCAATGGGAGCGTCTCTTCCATGTGCAGTGTACAGAGCTCATGTGAACTCTGAAGAGTGTTTCGTGTGATTTTCCCTTTGACTCAAGAGGAACTTGAACTCCACCAGTGTTGGTTGCTTACTCCATGTTGCGAACAAAAAACGGGGCCTTTTGGAATACAGACTGGACCCTGTATCCCACCTGTGTGTCAGTACTAACTGTGACTAGCATTCCACGGACAGCTGCACACAATTGAGTGAGCACTGCTAGGTTTGGGCTGGGTCTTTGGTCTACTGTCAAACATTGACCCTGTTGGCTTGCTAGGCACCTGTGATCTTGTGGTGTTAGCAACAAGAGGGTACTGTACAGCAGGCCTCCTACTGAAAGAATGAGCCATAAGCTGGACAGTGTGGATTTTGCATGAGCTGGGGCACAGTCTGTATCCCCCTCAGGCTGCTATGCAGCATAAGGCCGGATTAATTAGCAGTTTCTAGGTCCAGACTTGAGAGGATGAAAAGAAAAATAGCAGCTTTCCAGGGATAATTAGGAAGAAGTGGTTAACAGATGGATTTAGATAAGTAACCTCACTCTATTCATCAGTAATGTGCTTTTGTATTGTGTGTCTCAGCAAACTCTTCATAGAAAGATGTATTATATTCATTGTGGTGAAATGGTTAATTATTAACCTGTAAAATGAGCAGTAAGAGAAGATAGCCCAGAAAAAAAGATAATACATATAGCATGTGATAGACTACATAACTGTAGAGTACAAACTGTACACTCACTGCTCCTTTCATCTGCTGTTAAAGCTCTGGTCTGTTTATCAAAAGGACTTGTCCAATGTATAGATTTTTTTTTTTAATTTTGCTTGCTTTGGAGCAAACCTTTTGTTTCTGGTCTTTTACTTTTGTTACTTCTCTCATGAAGTATCATTGTGAAAAGCAGCGCAGTACGTAGCACGTGTTTCCTGACTAAGCGGTCCTGTCATAAACCACTAATTAGCATACAACAGTCAGAAGCTCTTGTGACATGCATTAGTTTCCTGCTTTCTGGATGTCAGTCTGCAGTGCTGCACACTAAATTGCTCATTACCTCAATTATACCTCATTGCTATAACGATGCTTGTAGGTCTAGGTATGTTCATCAGCATTAGAGTGTCACATAGTATCATGTAATATGTTGCTGAAATAATACCTTTTCATTCAAAAATGAGTATTGATTGTCCTGTACATTGGAGATCAAAGAGGCCAAGTAATTTTAATTTGCTGTTTATATATTTATCCTTATCCTATTGAAAATGAATGAAAATATGGTGCTGTAATTATTTTTGTGATTTGTGGCTGATAATTGTGGTATAGTTGTGCCTTTAATGTTACTTTTAAAGTGTTTATGTTTTAGACGTTTTTGTTATTTTGCAGAAGAATTGCATCTTCCTTTTTAAGATGGAAACGAATGTTGGTCATGACAGAACACTAATCGTTCAGTAGCATGATAAAATAACCCTTTGCAATGAGTTCTGTTCTTTACTTACATTGTGTCACCTGTATCAATTTGCAGGTCATTGGGGAGTTAAACTGAATATGTGTGAAAAAATTCAAATGGGACACAAAAAACATGAATGTTATAAGTTGTACAAAATAAGATATATTAAGAACGTTCCTGTCGCTTGCATAAACTGCTTACATGTTTTCCTCTCTTAGATTTCTTTTACCATCTTATTAATGAGGCCTTTTAATAACAAAACTTGTGATAGCCACTAATCTTTCTGTCAAGGAGTCATAATGTATGCAGAGGTGAACTGTTGTATTTACTGTGATCATTTTATTTTGATACTGAATATTTCTTTCAGAGCAGGAGGAGGTTATTATGTAGGTTCCCAATTTGTATGGAGTTGTGTGTACGTGTGTAGATCTTTTTCTGTTTATGTTTGTGGTGTTGGGCTGTTGCACACAGATAAGGGTTATCTGTTATTGCCTGCAAGACACCTTACCTGCCTTGTGTAAAGTTTTGTGTGCAAAAACAGTATATTTGTTAGATTTTTACTTTCAGTACTGCCAACAGGCTGCTTTCTGGTTTGAGCATAAATGATTCTTACAGTTTCATCACAAATACCAAATTCAAGATGAATTAATTTTGATACATTTTTCTAATCACAGTCTACTTTCTGTTGTTAATCAGGGATACGTCTTTGTTCATAACAAGCCACCAAGCATTTTTTCCACCTCCTATGAAGAGCTGAACTAAGTTTGCACTCACCCTTAAGGGAAAGACGGTGATATTCCATTTGTCAGTCAAATACAGAATGTTAGTGGAATAGGAGAATTCCATGTGAAAGCAGAGTGTTCAAAATATTTTTATATATGCCCTTTTCCAAAATTCTGGTTGCTTTATGTTCCCAATACTTTACCATGTAAATGCAGTCATTGTTCCTGATGCCAAGGTGATTTTATCCCCATGATAATGTTGGAAAAGTTTTAATTGTCGAATGCCTTTTCTCATTTGCTACTACTTCTGTCTTATAGCTGGAGTTTGTTTTTCAATCAACAGTTGAATTTGGATAGATACTGTGAAAGTTGCATGGATTGTATTTTGGGAATGTGAGCTACAAAAGGTCAAAGTCAGTTGCTGCTTAGGGCTGTTTTTTTCAACAGGAAACTGTGTGAAAAGATCACGGTATTCTGGCAAGTTTTTAAATCCTGGTTACAGCTACTTCCTCCTGTTTTTGTGTTAAGATCTTCTTTTCATATCTTTAATATGATTACTGTGATTTCTTAGACAACGTTTTTTTTTAATACAGTCACAGTTTAAAAATGCGATTTAAAGTACATGGGCCTTTTATTGCAGCTGAAAACAATGTTCTGAAATCTACAGTATGTAAAAGTGGAAACCTATTTTATAATGTACAGGAACTGCTTTATGGAATGATTAAGGTCTATTCATTTTGTCTACATGATTGCAATTTTTGCAATACACTTGACATACACTTGGCAGAAGTGGCAGATAAGCATGTTGCTTTTGGTAATCTATGTATTAAATTTTATAGTGAATCCTTTGTAAATAATAATCTATGATTGATTAGTTTAATTAGGTGGGATATTTTTTTGGATTTTTTTTAATTGTAAAGGCCTATGATTAGTGGCATATTTGGGTTCATCTGGAATCCACATCTGGATTGGTGTTTAGTGTTATTAATGTTCGATTTACGTCTGCAAAACTTGTTACAGGAGGAAAAAAGCTGAATGCAAATTTGAGACTTGCATTTGAGGGTGAAGAAGTGGGAAAGTGTTCACTCTAGTGAGGTTTTTGTTCAGAATTTTGTATTAAAATGCAAATTTGTTCTGTAACAGTTTTGACTCACTGTCCCACTATAACTATTTTAATTTCTTAAATAATTTTCTGCCTTTGTGTAATTTAAAATGTAGTTCCATACCGATTTAATCAAATTTAACTTTTGAGTAAATCTTTCATATGCTGTTTTTTTGTTTTTAGGCCTTGCTGGAAGATGAATATCCTCAAAGACAATAAAGACTTAGCCTGTTTCTACACAACAAAGCACTCCTGGAGGGGAAAGTAAGTGTTTTCTTCTGTTTTTAGTTTATATATCTTAGTTCTTAGAACGTAGCATTCTGTGCATATATGTCTTTAGGATAAATTTAGATATTAATTAAATGGTTGGTGTGATTTTGATTAATTGATGATTGGTGACTGACTGTGATACACTTGAATGACTCTGTTGCACACGCATTAGTGAGAGTGTTGATTGGCCACAGGTGGTGGAGTGATTGAACCTTTTGAATGTCAAGCATGGTGCAAATCAAGAAACAAAAACACAGAAATAAACCCCACTTGGAAGGATAAGAACGTCTTCATCTCATCAGTATATTGGAGCAACACACTGCCAATAAAGCCAAGTCCGGTTTACCAATTAAGGTTTTGTGGGGAGCCCCCGATGGTATGTCTGTATGGTATAGATATGCAGAATAATATGATGATTTTTTGTGCAAGGTAGCAGTTGATGTTGAGATGTTTGTTGCTGCAGAATTCCACTTGTAGTGACTATATAGATCCTGACTGTACAGTGCTACACTCAGTTGAGAGTTTTAGTTTTAAGTGCTCAATGTACTTTATTATACTATCATGCAGTGTTCTTGGAATATTTCATTTGATGTTGGTGCTATTAATGAAGTACTGTTCAAGTTTCTTTTTCTATTTTTTGTAGTTCTTGTTTAACTTTAGCTGTGATCCAAATGTTAGTTATATGCTCTATATAGATTAATGCAGAAAGGTAGAAGGTCTAATTATATTAGGCAGACGTAGTATAATTTTTTGAAAGGAGTGATGCATTCTGAAACCTTTAAAAAACACTTTCTGAAGGAATTGTAGAGGACTGGTGCCAAATATTATATGTAGGTAATTGCCCTCATAGAAAGAACAATGATCCGTATAAAGATTGTTTACTGCAGTGTTATATCTAGGCTGTTGATCATGTTCAGGAGCACATAATGTGTATTGTCGGGTAAAGGAGAAAGAAAGCATATTTTTAGTTCAGAAAGATTAGGCAATGAAGGTACTTTGATCCTGTTTTTGTTGCCTGATTCTATCAATTAAAATGCTAAAAATTAGATTAATGAATACAAAAGCTTCCATAGTCAGCACTGTAGTTTTTGTAGTTCAGAATAATGAAATTGCAAAAAGAACACAATAGGAATATAAGGAAAGCTTAAAATATTTTATATAATACATTATTGCTGAACTGAAATGTGCCATTTTGCTATTTTGTTATTTTTCTTGTGACTGAACTACATAAATTATTATAAAGCTTTGATTCAAAATTTTGCATGCTATCATGAAATATAAGACATAAATTGCATACCATATTACATATAAACTTTACAAGGCACCATTCAGTAAAAGTATGGAAACCAAAAGCTTTGTAGCAAATGGGATCAGTTTGAGCCTTGTGTCTTTATTAGAGGTTTGCGTAGTGTATTGGTATGCAATGTAATAATTTATTCATCTATTTCATTGAAGATTGTTGCTAGTAATCCATATAAATGAGGGAAAGAAGATTTACATCTTTTTTTAATACAAGTTAAATATTAAGCCATACACAGTAGCAGTTTTGTACTCCCTAAAATAAACTTATTAGATTGTGTTACAGCCGTGTGTGTGTGGTGGGGGGGGGTAGATTTTGAGAACCTTAACCATTGGTAAGATCGTGACCTACTGGATGAGATTAATTCTAAAATAGACAGGTGGGAGAACATGGTTTAGCTTAAGGGTTTAACTGTTATGTGACGACAGCAGTGCTTTCAATATTAAACGCATAGGATGAGTTAAAACTACTAGTGTAGTTGGTTATACAAGTAAATTAAATATACATGGGGTATAACTGCCATGCACACCACTGCGTGAATACCTAATAAACCTTCAAAGGCTTAGAGCTACTGTTGAATCTTTTGCAGACAGCAAATCGTTGAACCTTTGAAGTTTTTAACTTTTGACAAAAGCCCTAATTAACTTTAGTTACTTTGCTTTTCCATTAAGTGCAAAACGCTGCAGTAGAAGTTTCCAGTGCCTTTTGGGTACGTTGTTGGCATATTAAGGACAGTGTCATGTCCAGCACCTGTTTTCTTTATAAAATAAACTAAATTTCAGTTGAGGTGACTCACTGTGGTCATCTCCAATGCCTCTGACACCCAAACCCACTTGCTGAATGATTTTATTATTTGTTGCCATACGGGCTTTCTAAAAGCTGACACAGACAACTTAAACATCAGCAAAAAAGTCAATCTGGAGACTTTCAAACCTTTCCTTCAGCATTGTTAGGAGGAAACCTAAGAGAGCCTGCAAACAACAGGAGGCCATTCGCCCATCTAGCCCATTGGGTAGTTAATTGATCCTAGGATCTCATGCAGCCATTTCCTGAAGTAAATAAGGGCAGTGACCACAACAGCCTTGCTGCCTTGCATATTCCATACTGCTAAAAGCCCTCAATATCCGCAAAGCATTGGAGAAAGAGAATATTGCTTGAATCCTCTATGGCTGAATTAGAGGATTAAATTAATCACTTATTAGCTTCATTTTGTCCTGTTGGAAAGGCACCAGTAGAAATTATCCTTTTAATGTTTTACTTTTTCTACCACCAGGACCATTGAAGGCATAAATTCACATAAGGTTTTTGATGTATATGGTTCATGTGTATATACAGTAGGCACAAGACTCTTTCCTTTCTGCACTATACTTATTGAAAGTACTTCTTACAGCCAGCCTTAGAATCACAACCTAAGGTTCGTCCCAGATCATTCTACTCTCATCATACAACACAGAACATGGAAGATGTTTTGTGTAATTAAGAAGTCACTTAGCAAGCTTGGAGTGCTCCTCCATTACCAGCCAAGCTGAAGATCTGTGAGGGCTGTTCTAGTCTGTTTGACACTGTCCAGCTTATTGACTTTTAATTGTTAGACATTGGAATTGGAAAGTTTTCTTGTGTTTTGTAGATATGCATGGTAGCAACAAGATGAGATGCAAATACTGTACGAGTTGTTCTGTCTGGCTTTCTGGGTGGGGGAAGTGTCGTTTTTATCTTCTGAATTTTTACACTTGCTATAGGCCTGCCCGGCTGGAGTGTGCTATTTTGGGCTTGTGGGTATGTTCTACAACTTGGTTTAAAACCACATAAGCTAATTAATTTTGGGGGTTGTCAGTGATCAGTGACATACACTAACTGGGTCAAAAATAAGGAGTTGTTAAACCCCTTAAAATATCCCCAGTTACCCCCTGAACAGCCGAGGGTGTTCCTATAATTCTGCAGAAGTTAAAGCCAGCAGCACAATCCATGCAGAAACAGCAGAATGTCTTCAAGTGGAATGTCATCAAAGTCAATTGTTGCTAGAGCTACTTTAATTAACTAAATTAGCTAAATTAACTTTAATTCTTCTCTTCTCAAAAAGGTAGATTCATTACAGTTGTCTAAATATAGGGCATTGATGGTATTGAACACATACTGTATGCCCATACTCACAATTAAGGATATAAATGCAGGATGGACAGAAATTTGAGGCTCATACTGTAATTATTAATGCATTTAATGTTATCATTTCTTCTTTTATATGGCTGTATTATAATACATAGTACAAGTTCTTCATATAGCCTTCTTATGGAAAGTACTTAAAGTGCATACAGCTGGCAAATAGTCTCCGTTACAGGTATTGAGTTAAAAAATGAGTTTATTATAAGTTTATACACTGTCAAAAGCAGCATGTGAGGTTGTGTTTTTAGAACTAGCTGATTAACTGATCTATGTTGATCTATTTAAAATAAACCCTTTATAGAGTTTCTATTTCGGTTATTTTAAATCAACTTGTTTTTTAATTAAATAGAAAATAATTGCTGAAGATGAAATGAAGAGTGCACAGAATGATGACACACTCAATCATATAATTGTCTGTCTCATGAGAATTTGATTTTCAAGATGTCCATGATATTCATATATCTCTCAAAGGAACACTTGTGCATATTAAAACTTTGAAAAATGTCAACTAGTTTTTCTCGTCTTGTGAAAATAAACTTAATGTATTTTACTTTATTCTTATTGATTTCTTTAATTTGACTATCTGTAAAGCAGTTATGAAAGATTTTGTTCAAAGAGTACAGCGACTGAGACAGAGCTGACATACCCAGAATGTTAACAGAGTTATTTACTACTAAAATTGTTTTATTTTCTTATTTTTAAAATACTGGAGTGTGCTTTGTCCTTCTTGTTGTTCTGTGAATATTTATAGGGACCATGATGTCCTATACTATTTCATGTCATTTCAATTTTAGACATCCATGACAAGTCTGAAAATTGGTTGAACTGTTACGGCCAGTATGCTGCATATACAGTAGTTTGCCATTCTGCAGTTAACATTTTAACTTATATGCTTGGAGTATGGTGAGACTAAAGTATAGTTCATGTAGCCACATAAGAGTGGTTTCTCTTTTATTTAGCCTTTAGTGCCTGGCAGTCATCACACAAATAATGTGTATCTCTTCTGCTCTCAACTATATAATTTAAACAACCTTTTTATAATAGTGGTGACGAGCTGCAAATACTTGTAGTTATGGATTGTAGGGCTATATTATTTGCTTCTGTGCAGATTTAGGAGGTACTGTATAGTACTGCAGTTACAGTAGAACAGTATTCGTACTGGTGGAAAAAAACTATTGATAAAATTGAGAAAGAGGTTGGAGACGAACATGGCTGATGTTGGCTTGTTTATTCTTATTACGTCCTTGTATTGCTAAAAAGAGAAGCTTGTCATCCTCTGGACCCAGTGGAATGTGTTCATAAGGTTCATTTTTATGGGCACCGGCCTGAATATTTTAAAACTTTCTTTACTTGGATGGATCAATCATGCTCATGAAATATAAATGCCCATTAAGCCATGACTGCTCAAGAGCATTCAGATGGATTTGCCGATTCAGGGGCTGGAATTGTCTGCATTTTTTTAAAGGGGTGGTAAAGCTAATTGTGCACTTTTCTGTTGATAAAACAGGTTTACTACATTCCATGCTTACGATTT